TACTCTGTGGCCACTTGATTTCGTCCAATATTCGCCGCTATTTTCGATTACCCTTTGGGGCAACAAGAACAGCAAGGACAACAACAATAATAATAATGATAATAATAATAATAATATATTTATTTGAGCGAATAATTTCTCAGGTCGAGGCACGGGTCTGTCAAAGCCAGTAAAGGCTTGTGGGACAGCACCCTAATGGTCATAACCAAAATATCCCCCAAACACAAACAGTGTCAAGCTCACCATGCAGCATCTGCACTGTAATGCAATAAAATATGATGAAACAAAAATGCACATAATAATAATTTTATTTCTTGACAGTTCTGGGTATCCAGAAATGAGAAACTATGCGTAGTTGCCTAATATCCGGCCAAATATATAATTTTTAAAGTCGTTTCAAAAAAAAAAACAAAGTTTGAACGTTAGGCATAGACAAAGCCTGAAAATAATCAAGAGACGAAAATGATGGCTTGTACAGCTTGGACGAAATGGATTGAACGCACTTTTAAAGTGTCCGCGTGAATCGGTTTCTCCACTTATAATGCTGGTATTTACTACAGAGGTGTCTAAAGTTGGTGAAAGCTTTCGCTAAAATTATGAAAAGATTGGATCACCTGAGTAAATCAAGATAAAAATCAAAAACTATGTTTTCCTATATTGTGCATGTACACTAAAAAAAATGTCTTACTGTGGCACTTATTTGGGCCAAATGAAGTGAAGGATAGGTAAGCCAATTCTATTTTCTTTCCATTTCACACATTTTTCAATCGTAGTAAACGTCAGAATAGCCCCGACGATTTCGAGCACCTCTGTAGTAAATCCCAGAGCGACAAGTTAAGAAACCGATTTACGCGGTCAGTTTAAAGTGCGTTCAATCCATTTCGCCCACGCTGTATACTGTACATTCCGGAAGATACCTTTTAAATTATTATTAATATTTCCCCTCCATAATGCAGAGCATTTGCAAAAAAACGGTAATCTTGTATCGGGGCGCTCCATATGCTTGTGAGTAAGCTATGACCCTTCGGAGTCGTAATGGAAAAGATGTCCTGATATTATAGAGTAGGCAGGAAACACTTCTTTACTGGGAACATATATGAGAAAGATGGGTGTTCCTTGAAAGGTCAGAATCCCATACCACCCCCAGATGCTTTATGGTGTCATGGGTATGGAATTGGTGTACAGTAGCATGAGACGCAGAGCGTAGTGTGCAGTAAAAGAGGAATATGTCACACTGTCACCTTTAGAGGGTTGTGAAAACACACCAATTTTGTTTCGGCGATATTAACATCGATGAAGTTGTTTGCAAACCAATTCATTAGTCGAAGAGAAGAGTCCTGTAGCATGGCCATCGCCCTTGGATAGGACAGATGGCTTGTTAGCAAAGGAGTATCGTCAGCATATTGATAGAGTACGGTTTGATAGAGAATCACACATGTCGTTGACGTAAATATTAAAGAGTAAGGGCCACAGAACTTAACCCTGTGGAACACCGAATTCTAATGAAACTCTGTCGCTGTGTATTCCGTCAATTGAAACCAGTGTAAAGCGACCCTGTAAAAAAAAAAAATATTAGTAGTGATAAAAAAAGGGCCCCGAAATCCAAAGGAAGAAAGCTTTTGGATTAAAAAGATTGAGGTACACCCAAGCACTTCTTATGAGTTGTGAATGCGAAAGCATGCAAGCCGCTCGTACTTTTTGTCGCCGGTCAGCGCCTGTGCTCCCCTGGTTACCTTGGACGCTCCGCGCTGATGGACACGCAGCGCCATAGGGTGAGCGGTTGTGGAAACTGGCTAGCGCAGCGGCCAATGGGAGCCCCGTCGACGCGCGCCAGCCAATGGAACCGAAGGAAACTAGATGCCGTTTTCGCGCTTCAGACTGATGACGTCAGCTCGCTCCATGAGACAGTTAATGCTTTCGCATTAAAATTGAATGACTTACAGTGTCAAATGTTTTTGATATATGAAGAAAGAGAACGCAAGTATCCAGATTGTGTTCGAAACGTAATCGGAGAGCGACTCGAGAGGGGATTGTGTCCCACGTCCGGGTATGAAACCATATCGAGGGGAAGATATAACACTGCATCTGTCAACAAATGAAGCCAGTGGTTATGTATATAACATTTAACAATATTTGAATGCGACATGGGTGAATAGATATTGACCGTAAATTTTCTTCCTTGCCCTTTTTTAGTCCTTTGAATAAATGTATAATAATAGCAACTTTTAGAACAGTGGGAATGACACCGGAATCGATAATTTCGTTAGACATAAGAAGCAGAATTTTCAGGATGTGTCTGAAATTTCCGGGGTGATCGGTCAGGCGTATGTCATCATAACCCGGTGCTTTGTTATGTTTAAGTCCCAAAAATTAGAGGAGGACACTTAAGACTCCTTACGTGAAGGAATGCGAAAGCATTCCTACACGCAGCGCATTACTACAACCAGCGCGCCCCGCTGTTTACCGCAGAAGCCAACCGGGCGGGGCGACATGGCTGAAAGCAGAGCGTAGAACATGTGAAACAGTAGCGCACAGGAAGATGGAGGGGGTCCCTTTTTTCTGGCCACGCCTGACACGTGACCCGAGAGGGGGAGAGTGCGGCGGCCGCGCGCGCTCCACCCTCTTTATTTTACCGGCGCGCGGGCAGCAGCGCCAGGAAGAGGGCTTATCTGTGGGGTGGCGTTCTTTGGAACTATGACGCGTCGCAACCAATGGGAATTTAGCCGCCGTTTTTCGCTGCTACAGATGGAATTAAGCCGCGTTTTTCGCTGCTACGGACGGAATTTAGGTACCGTTTTTCGCTGCTACAGACGAAATTTATGTGCCGTTTTTCGCGGTCACAGACAACGCCGGCTTCGCTGAATTGGACAGTTAATGCTTTCGCACTAATAATATAGATTCCAGGTCTTGCATTGTCTTAAGAGGAAGGAACTCGGAATCTAAGGTAGAATTAGAAAGAGAAGTCGATGTGTAACTCGCCTGGCGTTGCCTGAAAATTCGGCAAACAAATCATCGAAGGTGTTGGCCGTAACAAGCGAATCAGGACCAAAAGTTATTTCAAAATTGTTGGCTTGTGAACGGTGATGCTACTCCACGCAATTCATTAACTAACGACGACGTTTTAACTGAGTTAATAATAATAATCCTACTTTATTTATTCTAAAATCCGCGTACCAGTAAAAAAAAAAAACAGTGTATAGGGGAATGAAAGAGTATCATGAAATATTGTGTTAAAAGTACTTGAAATTACTTTGAAAGACTTTACCTCAAAAACATTGCGCCCGGTGTACTTACTACTTCAGTTCAAGTACGCAACCTCTGATTTACTTTGTGCTTCAAGTACATTTTAGGTGTGAAGAGTGGCTTCACAAATATCTATGCTTTGAACCCGTCTGCCGACAGACAGTGACCGTCATACAAGAAAGAAGCATGCCTCAGAAAGTGTCTGCAGGTTGCCTTTTTTTTTTTTTTTTTGCGCCATGTATTAGCGATGTGAGCGCGACTTGCACGAAGGTGTGAAATGATCTTCCGCGCTGATTACCACTTCTGCACAAGCGATATTGTACACTATAGCCCCTCTCAAGGAACGACGAATGGCATGGCATGTCATGTTCCTTGGTTCGATCCCACGAAGCACCCGGAAAAGAGCTAATCGCCGCAATCTATACGGAGCGAATGACAAAGCCGGAAATGTAGCTGGAAATGAGGCGTGCGATGGAACACTGAGCAAAATGAAACCGCGCTCAATGTCGCGGAATTTATTTTGCTTTTTAACGCTACATTCCTCCCCCCCCCCCCCCCCCCCTTCCCCAATCTAAACATGCTACCCGTCCGTCCGGGCGTTTCCCGCTAAATTTAGGGGGGAATCGATGTGGCGAGATCTATATACGAATTCAGTTTCTCAGCTAAATTTAGCGGGAAAATTGATGTCACGTGACTTGACGTCGAGGGAAATACAGACCAATTCTGTTTCCCCGCTAAATTTGGCGGGAAAGAGTCGTCACGTGAGGTCCACCTGACCTCACGTGACCTATACACCTTGGGAAAATTGACGTCACGTGACGTATACGTAAACTCGATTTTTCCGCTAAATTTAGCGGGAAAGTTCACGCCTTGTAATTTAAAACACCAATTCACTTTTTCTCGCTAAGTTTAGCTAGAAATTTATGTCATGGGACCAATACACCAATTCAATTACCCGATAAATTTAGCGGAAAAACTCACGTCTCGCGACTTATTAAGACAGCAATCCAGTTTCTCCGCTAAATTTAGCGGAAGGAGGGGGGGGGAGGAACCGGCGTCACGTGACTTAGACACCAATCCAGTTTCCCCGCTAAATTTAGCGGGAACATATACGTTTCGTGACATACTAATTCGCCGACCAATTCCCTCAGCAATTCCCTATAATGCATTTTATCCATTATGCGACTTTGAAGCTTAAGGTCGGTGCCACTTTTTATGGTCGAAGATATTTTCGGAATCGCCATTCGCCGACCTCCATCCGTAGATCGCGTCGATTGGTTCTCCCAGTTGCTCTGCAAAAAAACCGCCGCGCGGCCATCTTTTTTATTCTTTATTTTAAGGTTTAGAGCAGGCACACATGTTTGCTTCGAACATGTGTACAGGCAGTCTTCGTGTGACCAATCTGACTGTCATACGAGGAAGAAACAAGCCTCGGATAGTGTCTGTCTTTTGTATGATGTATTGGTAGTGTGAACACGGATTAGAACATACTTAAAATATACTTGGGACCCTGGGTCTGGCTTTTCGCCCACGCTCGCCCTCCGATCAAGATCTTCTTTTTTTATTTTCGATTCATTAAAAGAGTTTATTAAAAGTCCGGATCCCAGATAATAAAAATGATAAGAAAAGGTAATAGTTAAGAAGCTACGTTTCAAGTGTTTGTGCCAAGCGCTCGCCGCTTGACCAACAGCCGCGGTCGTAGAAGATTTCTCCGCCTAGATGGGCGAGAACAAAAGAACCGCGTTCCGAAAGAAAGCAGACGACCACGGAAGCTGTCGGAGCGTTCGCACGCGACGCCGAGATACGGACCGATCGGAATTCGCCCCCTCCACACAACTTCGAGCGATATAACTACGGCAGAAGTCCGTTTCTAAACGCGGAAAGAAAAAACGAAAACGAAGTAGCGATTTTGGAAGAACCGGGCAGATTTTTGGTCTGCAAAGCCACGCGAGGAATGTGGTCGGCACGGGCGAGAAACAAAGGGCCGGCGCGGCCCATTCAGGGCTATCGCAACGGCGGCCGCGCGGAGTGCCTGACGTCAGCGGCGAGGAGGAAGGCGCCTATAGGATCCCGGCCCGGCCGCCGAGGTCGTCACAGGGCCGGCAACGCCGTACTTCGACCGCGACGCTCTTCCTGGTCCCGACACCGTCAACGCAGTCCGCAAACCCGTCCACCCTTGTCCACACAGCGTCGCACAGGTGAGCGCCGGTCGACGCGGGGTTCCGAATCATCGTCGGAACGGTTTCGAAGCCGGTTGCGGCGAATGGTAGTTTAAAAGTCGCTTTCATCCTGCTATAATGCATCGTACAAAAGACGATCTACACACATTGTCTGAGGCTCTTCCTGGTATGGCGGTCACGTGGGTAATTATACCGAGACTTGTCTGCGGCTACGTTAGACGCGTGAAAATTCTTAATGCAAACATGCTAGGAAAATGCTCGAGACGTATACCCGCAGGTAATTTTGTCATCGCGTCTGGACAGCGTCTGATTCCGTCTGACCGCGGTTTGAAGGGGAAACGCTCTTGGAGTTGCTTCGATGTGCCATTCGGCACTTGGGACCACCCACTGTGACACTTGGTGTCACATTCAGAATCAGAAAGCGTTTCTTTGGCTTTTGGGGACGGAGAATGGGTGTGAGATCGGTGGCTTACAAGCCTAAATCTATAACCATCTCAAAACGTTTTTTTTTTTTTTCTTTCATTGACGTTTATTACAATTTACAACACACGTTGCTGCACGTTCTGAGCCTTTCCTTCGTTCAACGCGGTTTCAAAGACCCCCTCCATCAACCCCATGCACTTTGCTATTCGCGAATCTCTTGGTTTGCCACCGTGCACGATGATAATCTTTCCTCCCATCAATGCTTAATTTCTTACATCCTCCTCCGCCCTGCCCGTGACAGAAAAAAAAAAAAAAAAGTTTTGCTGCACGTCTTTGACGTCTGCCTTTTTGCCGGGCTTTGAGCGCGCGCGCGAGGTACAACTGATCGCTCCTCCCTGTCCTTCTCATCTCGTCAGTGACTATACGGGCAGACAGTGAGGGAGAGGAGGATACGAGAGAGGGTACGTCAGAACGCTGAGCTCTGGTTGGTCTGCACCCGTCGACCGCGTTAGGACGCGGAGCTCCGGCTGGCGTCGGACGCTTGGCGTTCGCTTTCGAAGGTCGAGTGGAGACAAAGGTCTATTAACTAATCATTTGAAGCAGAGATCGGCGTTCCTCCTTTCCCTCAATTTCCACCCCGACGTGCGCGATCCAAAGCGTGGCTGTGGTCCGCATTCCACGATTGTCCAGACTCCAAACTCGCGCTATGAATACTACTTTCCTCAATACAAATATGAAGAATGTCTTACTGGCACCTCCGACGCGGTGTTCGTTCAAAGACGCGATGACTACGAGCTTCCACCGTGCTTTTCTAATCGCACCATCGAAATTGTCTCTGGCAATTAATCGATAACCCTGGCCGCAATTAATCGATAACCCTGGTCAACAGATAGGAGACATAAACAAGAGCCACCGAAACATCTCGTCGTCAATAGTGGTCAGTTCCCATTTTGCCACCAAGGAAAAAATAAAAGGTATTCGGGGTTATGAGATTCATTTTACCGATTACGTCTCCAATAACTCAGATTTTTTGCTCAAATCTAGTCCGAAGCTCGTTGCAAACTTCCTTTAAGGCCACGTCTTGGTGCACAAAAGTAAACTAATTGAGTTTGAGTTTGTACGGCGATAACTCAATCTCCGAGCCCTAAGCAGAAATATAAGAAAAAACAATCACGGGGAGTTTTTTTTTTTTTCTTTATTTTTTTCTTGCTCAAACTGACCCAAACATACCACTTCACGTTTTTATGATATACTTATGTTTCAGAAAAAGGGTGCGTGTTGCGACGTTTGCTCGCGTATTTGATAAAGAAAAATGAACCTGTTGTATATTTTTATGATGCTTAAGGTGCGTGCATTGAGTTATTCGCATACAATGTCGAACTCGAAGTTCACTCTAGTTCCCCTTTAAGGGAGAGGAAAACGAAACACTTTTTTCTTCTTCTTTGCAATCGAATTATAGATGACATGGTACTGCTGTACCACGCGAAGTTGCAAGGATGTTTACCAGTTTGCGTATAGCAGCGAAACACAACTCTTAAAAATCTCTCGGCGGAGGATTAGTTTGTGCAGGTTAAAGTGCATCTCCCATACCCCACCTCCTGAATGGAGTCACTGCTGAAAGAAAAGTTTCTCAGCTTTCCACCCCCGTGTCATGTATCGACATAGGTGCTTATTAGTATCCTACTTCAAACGACATCGAAGCTTTGCAACTGCCTCCAAAACTCAAATATATCAAGAAGAAAAAAAAATGTATATAAGAATAATATTGTTATTATTAGAAGTAAAATAAATATTACGTTACGAAAGCACGGCTAATATATGGTCCTTATTATCATGATTGTCATGTATGACACATTAAGGGCCCATATCAGCGTTACAGAAGAGGCGAGGAGTTGTAAACAAAAACATTATATAAAAAAAACCTGAAAGTAGCACGAAACGTTGGTTTACTTAAAACTGAACTTGCATGTTTTATATAAAAAAAAAAAAAAAACCTGCCTAAAATACTCGAGCAAAAAACGAGTAAATACTAATTGATACTTAACCTATAAATGCTACTGCAAATTATCGGTTAGTTCAACTGTAAATGCTACCTTTAGGGGGGGGGGGGGGGGGGGGGGGGGGGGGCTTGCGTCGTGATACGACTGTGAGCTATCACGATAACTTGCAGTGATATCTCGAAGTTAACTTCCGCAACATACAATAAAACGTATAGCCTTATATGCGTCTGTAGGCCTTTAATGAACTTATATTAATCCACCAAAAGCGTCAACCACAAGCTATAAGAGCATCTAGAGTAAAAAAAAAAGAAAACGGTTCGAGTACAAGCGAGCTGGTGGATGTTTACCATCTTGCAGCTTAACCCGAAACTGGGGTATGAATTAGAAACCTAAAAGTAGAAAGGGCAAAAAAAAAAAAAAAAAAATGGGAGAAGAGAGCGTCCGGAGCCACGTATAATTAAGGCGTCGAAATGACAGTTACACGTTTTGCGAGGCTACTCAGCGAGCGAGTTCCCGGTTCCCCAATTGTTTAAAGACGCGCACAAATATACCGACATGCAGCGTTAGTGTGCAAGACTATCAAACAATCGGGTGTGCCTGCGAAACGTAGAAAAACGCTGCCTGAAAATAATGAGGGGCACGCGTGAAAAACTTCGCAGTTGCATGCAGAAGAATTCTTGCGGCGAGAAGCTTGCAGCGTCTTTTAACGTTTCCCCGGGTGACTTCAAGCAAGGTGTATTTAGTCAGGTGGATTTTCCCCCTTTTGTGTTCCTGATTTCCCTCTAAAGGCACGTTCTAAGTGATGTTGAATTCGCGCTAACAAACTGCATATATTGTTAATTTTGTGGACTCGATAAGACGCGACCACTGCCTAACACGCATGAGAGGGTTGCTTGGGCTCACTGAACTGGTACGTCCAAACGGTGTACGTCTTAAGGCGGAGGCTTAGATTGATCTCCAGCACCGCGTAATAACTATAACTTGTACAACTTGACGTAGCGCAAGCAATCAGTGCGTCGGCGGAAATTTTGGCTAGGGCACATGACAAATGAGCGGGGGTGAGCGCAGTAAGCGTCCCGATTCGTTGCCATTTTATGATTGTAATGATTAACGTACGTTTCTTGTGTTGTAAGCCTCAATGATACTAGTCGTCGCGGCGTTAATCGACATAGAATTGTTTCGTGCTCTCTTAACGCGTTTCAGCTTGAAAGACCACAGTGTACAGACTCAATTTGACCATACATTGGTCAAACTGGTATATAAATTGGTCAAACTGGTGGGAAAGTATATATTGGTCAAACTGGTCGCTGCGTTAATGACCGCGCACGGGAACATGAATTGTCGATCACGAATAAAGGCAATGCACACTTGCCTACTCACTGTGCCGACTGTGGGTGTGATGCGCGATTTCAGGAGATTAGGATTTTGGGTAGAAGCAAAGACAGCACAGCCAGAGAATTGATGGAAGCTTTTTATATAAAGAAGAACCATGACTGTGTTAGCGATACCTCGGTTTCTTTGTTCGAAAGTGAAGTGCAGTTTTTATCCGGGTTGCTGGTTCGATAATGACTAGATAATGACTATCGTGGAATGTGTCTTGGTGGATGACTTTACTATCTATTTTCTGTTTTTTTTTCGTCTGTGTAGCGTGCTGCGCATGCTCTTTCTGGATGTTCGTGGTCGATTGCGCACGAATAAAGTAGTTGAAAGTTTGCGCTTGTCCGTGTATACTCGCTTGTAATTGTCCCCTGTGTCGCGCAAAAAACCTCTATACTGCATCATGAACCAACTAGGCCAACAACAAGTTTTAATTGACCATATCTGTTTTCAATTTGTAAACTTTAGTACATGTAAGCAGTTTTATATACATATATGTAAAATATTAGCACAATCATGAACTGCCCTCTAGCCGGCACGCAGCGAAACTTCCCGCACGCGGACTTTCGCGCACGTCCCTAAGAATTCGGGAACCCTCGACTCTTAGAAAACGACCCAGTGCGGCACACATCGCCAGGCCGAGAGAACTCGCAACGCGGCGTCAAACGTTCCAAATTGTTCCAAACTGCGTCTTTGACGTATCGGATTGAGCGCATCGGACTGCGTGCCAATCAAAGGACAACAATGCGCAGGGGACGCCTCACGATGACCAGGTAACCTAGCTCGCACAGTCATTAATTGAAATCGGGGTAAACAAAAACACGTGAGCGCGCTTGGTGGGGTAAACAAACGCAAGGAGCAGAATGAACTTGCACGACGTGTTGATCACCCCGGTCCTGATGTCACAGATATATGAACCCTAAAAGGCCGTCACAGCACTGCACAACGATGCCCTCAGAACACAGCGATCATTGGCCAATTCTTTTAATCGATCCAGCCAATGAGAGGTACCGTTTGCATTATATGTATGCTATAGTATAGTAGCGCAGTCCTGCCCTGCCCACGTGGGCAAGAATGTTGGTGCGGAAGCGCCTTGGGCAAGAGGGAAGAACTATTCGCAGTAAGCGTTGACAGGCGCGGTGACGTGAGCGGGCTTCTTTTAGCCGCCGCGCAAACAAGCAGCCCGATGAAGCTGGCCCCCCAATGAGCCAAAACAGCCGCTTGTCACAAACACGTTCGGAATTCCCGAGCTGCCGTTGCCGCCAAGTAAAGAGCGCCGAGCACATGGCAGCTCTCTCCCCCCCAACACGCGGAAAGTAAGCGTGCGAGCGGACTCCGCGAAAGAAAACATGCATAAGGTGGAAGGGGTGGAACGCAGAAGGAAGAGCGCTCTTTGGTACGCGGTAAGGGTTACGGTTCAACGAGGGCTCAAGGAACCCCACATCTGGCCGCGCGCGCTCCCGTCCACCATGTTTCGTCAACAACATACTCGACATGTCAATCATTGGTCTTTCTTCAATTAGTTCAGCTGATGAGAAGAGCGTTCGGCATCGTGCTTTAATGGTAAGGAAGTTTTACTGGCAAAATGGCAACCACGTACTCCTTCTGCCTGTGAGAGTGCATGGAGGTTAAGGTACCGAACACTCAAGAATCTTCTCATTGGTTCAATTGACTAAAGAATGATCGCGTTTTAGAGCAGCTTGGGACTTTTTTTTTGTTGTGTCAATTCGGTGCCATCATTCTTTTCATCGTGCTTCCCGGCTTTTGGAGTATTTTCGCACTTCTGAGAGCGCAGGACGCAGTATTCTGTCTTCATTCTCAAGTTGAACAGGCTCACTCAGCAATGACTTGACACTCTTCCCCCCCCCCCCCCCCCCCCTTAGCATACTCGCTCATAGCTTGAGCACACCTCCGAAGGGGCGTTTTCGGAAACGAGACATTTATAACAAGTTCCCATGACGAACAGATCTAAAACTTGAACAGTCCACAGATGCATTTATGCCATGATGGGGTCCCAATCGATGACGTGCGTACGGTGTTGCGTGGTTGCCGTTGCAAGGGTGGCCAAGTGCACGTCGTGAATGCCTCCTTTGTGCGTATTCGAACTTTGCAGGAGACCGGCATGGCGCATCTGGAGCGAGCCGTCAGCTTAGTGCTTCTACTCCTCACCTGGATGGTGCTGCACGACCAGTCCACCGCAGTCCCGGTGGCGGCCACCTCGCCACGGAGGACATCGCACGACGTGCTGGGTCAGTGCTTCCCGGGCACCTACGTGCTCGAACTGTGCCAGAGCTGCGCCAAGCTGACCAAGCTGTCCAAGGCGTACCGCATGTGCTGCAACGACGACCCCGGCAACAGCACCGAGTCCGTGCGGTCCTTCTGCGAGCGCCTGCTGCGGCACTCGCCGTGAGCCGTCGCAAGGAGAGGGCCACGGCAAGAGTCCGCGGTGATCGTCTTTGAATTCCATCTCGTTGCGAGTGGCAGTGCTGGACCGAACCACTGCTCGGTTGGCCTACGTCTGTGAACCTTCGCAGCACGGGATACAGATCAAGTTGGGATGCGTTCGGCTGCTTGAGACTATATGGTGGACGAGAAGAAGGAATTCTACCTCGATGACGTGGAGTTGCCTCACGCTCTGTGTACAGCTGGAGAGAATTTGAGAGGCAGTTACCGGGCGGCAACAGGAAAGATGCTGTACCGGAACCGACCAGCGGCATGACGTCTTCAACATAGTGCTCATAGAGGGAGCAGTCTAAGGCCAACCGAGCACGCCATTCAAATGCACACGCTCCTGCGGGCGTCCGCGGGTTGCTTCGCGGAGCAATGAGCACGAAAATGAGCAGCGACTCCATGACAGTGCTCCGGCTCACCTTACGTGCGAGCCAAGCCAAAGCTACAGGAGCGAACCGCATAGCCGCGTTGTGCACTTGCCACACGGTCGTGCAGTGGAAGCGGCGTTCAAGTCAACACAATCAAGTGCGCACTTGTAGCTCTGATTTTGCTCGCACTTGGAACGGTGTACACCAGTTTCATAGGCTACGCGGAGTGCAAGTTGGTCTGCTTCTTGCACGGGTGTTACGATGATGTCAGAACGTCGAGCTCTTATTGGCTGATTGAAAAACAAAATAGTGGGTTGACTTCAAGGTATCTAGCATTGAGGTCTACCCACTATCCTTCCAATCAAAACCAATCAGAGTTGAGCGTCGTTCTGATGTCACCGCAACTTCTGCAAAAGAAACAGACGACTTGCTTTCCGTCAGTGCTTAAAGTCAGGGGGTTGTCTTGGGGGATCTCGAACTTCCCCACAAGTTTGACAAGGGGTAAACTTATAATCGTAACGATCGATTTTTACAACAAGACATGATCTGATTTCCTTCCACACAAGTTGTGTCACGTCGTCAGGCATTTTTGTATCTTATACAAAGACATGCCGGGCTACATTTACACACTAGTCAAGTCGGTTTTGTGTGTATCTAGTTCGAACCCCCCTTCCTTATATCAAAGTTTGTAGAGACTCCCCCGCAGATTAAGGGAGACTTTAAGCACTGCTCTCAGCATAGCGTCCCGTGTACTTGCTATAAGGACGCGAGCGAAATTTTATTTGGTGGTTTCTTGCGTTTTGTGCATGCCACCCTCGCTGTAATGAATGGATGGCGCCAAGTGCGCACACCCGGCCTAGTCATCATCCACTTGAGATTTATTTTATACCTGCCATTTTCTCAAAAAAGAAGAAAAAAACGACGAGGAGTGATTGGTTGATATGATATATTTTTTTATGCTGCGTTGTTTCAGTGACGTTCCTCATCCGTTTCACTGAAATCATAGGGCGCTGATGTTCTCTATTAGAGAAACAAAGGTGCAGTCACACCTCCCATGTTTACATCACACAAAGAGACACGATGTTGGCGGCACACATGACAACAGAATTGCCCGCAGACACGCTTATCATGTTTTAATCATGTTTGATGCATGCATACTTCGAGCGTGTCTGCACACAGTTTTCGCATTAAGAATATGACAGGGCCACCATACGAGGAAGAAAAAGAAAGACGCCCAGTGTTTTCTACGATGTATTGGCTTGAGGCGCTGGTCCCTCAGGCACTGCGTACGCGTGCTTCACTGCCAAAGCCACGATCCCTAATGGCCCACTTCAGATGCAGGACTAAAGTTCGTCTGCTCCTTTTGCAGGGGTTGTGGTGACGTCAGAAAGACACCGAGCTCTGATTGGTTCTGATTGCAGGATAGTGGGCAGACCTCAGGGTAGCTTGCATCGAGGTCTACCCACTATCCTTCAATCAGAGCCAATCAGAGCTCACAGTCTTTCTGACGTCACTGCGACCCCCGCTAAAGAAGCAGACGAACTTTAGTCCTGCAGAGTAACTGATAGCTTAAGAAACGCGGGGCGTGGTTTATTACGATAATGTTCACTCTCCTTGCTTCGCCATTGGTTCTTGGTCTTTCTCACTGGCCAATGTCGCGAGCTCGTTGGCTCTGGAGCGACAACAAGATGCCTGGGACTTAACCACGTCCTGTCTTTCGTGAGCTGACGGGAACCATAGAAGGCGGTTCTGAACGGAATATCAAAATTGTACAGCTGCGCTCTCGAAACTCCTTTCGCCTTTATTGAAGGTGCTTACGTAGCTGCATTCGAGATGGCAGAGAAGCATCGCGGCAAGTGCCATAACGATGCCACATCAGCGCGTGACAATGCAATTACTTCTGCTTAGTGTATAAATGTTTCTTCACTTTTTGTGTGTGTATGTGTGTGAACAAACTCGCTATGTTCATGTGGGCACTTCCGACTTGTACATACAGCATGTCCCCGAAACCAATTTAGTGTTTTTTGTTCTTGTTGTTTTTACCTGAAAAAAAAAAAAAGAAAAAGATTACGCATTGTTGAATCCTATTTATTCGCCTAAACGTAGCGCAGTCCGGACCAGATGCCGAAGTTTCGGAATTAACAGTTATCTTAGTCAGAAGTTATGCGTGTTTTTGTAGAACTTTCAATGGGAAAATGGTTCCCGTTTCCGGTAGCTGATGCCATTCATCGTCACGTGTTCGTAGGCTTTGTCGGCCGCCTCTTATATAAAGTTCTAGAAAATTGCTTGTAACTTTTGAACCAGGTAACGGCAAGCTCAGAAACTTTGCCCTCTGGTCCAGACCGCCAGCGCTACATATGATGGAAAAACTAGCGTTCGGCGTTGATTAGTTACTTTTCTCGGTAAAAAAAAAAAAAAACAAATGTTTTTGGGTGGACAGAGTGTATATTACTCGTCTGCAGTTTTGTTAAGAATTGACAGTTTCCCGGCGAAAACTCAAACATTAACTACCACAAACACCGCGGAATGTAAGTGTTTTGAACATATTTCGGCTCGGACTCAAGCGCGCTGTCATCACCTGACATAACACTTTGTGCCATCAGGGGTCATGACCAGTGTTCAGGAAGCGCATTTGAAGACCTCGCTAGAATGTTGTATTTTTAAGCCCTCGCGAGCCACTTGTCAAAACTTATCTGCCTGTATGAGCAACACGTGCTAAGTCGAGCTATAGTTGGTAAATAGAAGAGTTGTTTTTCACCGTGTCTTCTGTATATGAGCAACCCCTAATGCATGCATGGTTCGTTGTTTTTAATTCTGCGAAGCGGCTCTTGAAGTCAACATGAGCCCTTTACACAACAAAATTCTTCCTCATCGAACGTTTGTTTCCTTCACGAGCGAGGCGCGAAACCTGGGTTCACAAGCTCGCGCTATAACGAGCTCCAGGTCTCAGGGGATAGCCATGAAGCGCCCTAATACTACGGCGCGCGGAACGCGTCTTCGCCGGGTGCGGTTAGCGTCCCACCCCTACGTCAAAAGTGCTCCCGAAGTGCCAAGAAATGACGCCACAGAAGCCGGAGTGTTGCATGTCGCGATCCTGGCGGTTGGTCGTACAAATGCTAACGACAAGCTGCGAGTTGCACAACCGAACGCGAGTGTCGCTGTCGTCACTGCGTCCCAACTTCTGGTTGTCCAAGCTTCCGTGGACTGCCACATCGGAGAGCGCCCTGCAGCAGAACCAGGCATCTTCCACATACATCCCAGCTGTTGGGACGCCACCAGGATCGCGACCGGCGACAGCGTGACATTTCTATGACGTCATCAGGCGGAAATCGAGGGACCACTTTTTTGGAAGCGGTAAACACGCCGGTCAGAAGCAGGTTCCAGGCACCATCCTAACACCTCTGCCGTGTGGCAGGGATTATAGACTCGCACATTTCATAACATCAGCATGCATATCAGTCGTGAATGTCGTTTCAAAACGGATGTAATTATTTTTCATCGAAAAGAAAGGAGCAGTGTCTTCATTTCGCACTACGACAGCAACTCTTCTCATTCATAATATACGCCATGTGTGCGAGCAGACATGGCTACAGTATGACTGTGATGTTTAGTTCTGCAACAAAACGCGTCACATGTCGGGCTCCAAGATGTTGAGGATTTTATTTTATTTATTGTTCCTGTTGTTCCTCTCTTGTGGTGCTCTTGTGAATAAAATGTGACGTGAAAATTGTGAATAAACGACTATTCTTTAAGGGAGGGGGGGAGGGGAAGGGGAGGGGGAAGGCACTAAGCTTAAGAAAGGTATTAGGAGCAAGTATCAGGATGTACTAGACCAGTAATGAGACTTGCCCGGGAACACTTTGCAAAAGACCGATTAAATTCAAAATCTTCCCAGCCTAATGACTGCATCATCAGCTTACACCGATGCGACACAAAACAGACCGGAATATAGTCAAAACTAGCTTTGGTTTTCGTTATTTTTGGACATATTTTTAACATTCGAGGAGAATAGTGCCTCTCAGAATGTCTAGAAACCCCGCAAAGCACCAGCCAACTCATATACGCCACTTAGGCTTAGCATCTTTGTCACCGTGAGAGGAGCCATCTCATGAAAGATACAAGGGAAAATGGTTATCACTCTGATTTTTTTCGGTCACGGTCACGAGCAAATGTTGTCCCGTTGTACCTTTCGCATCGTCGCACACCGTAGAACCAGATTTGATCACCGCCTTGCAGCACAGAATAGACCCTTTTCAAAAGGAAAAGAAAACAACATGAAAGGCCCCTCCCACAACACCGCCCACTTTTTCCATTTCAGCAGAGCGAACGCTGCATAGGAGGCGGGAGGCGGTGATGAAATCTGCTAAAGTTACCTGCTCTACGAGTGGTAACTTTACCGCACCACTGCGCTTCTCACGCATGAAGATGACTGATATAGTGGTTTTCGATGACGCTCAGCAAGTTTCTCATTGGAACCATATCTCATTGGAACCATTGGAACCAATTAACGAACTAATTAGTAAGTGTCACGCACTTTCCGACGTCCGCCACCACGAGCGACGCGGTCCCGAGAAAATTATCCTTTTACCTTGAATGCACTAAGTTGAAGAATATTTGTCACTCTTACGTGAAACACCGTGTATATGGATGAAGCAAAGATGCGTCGCACACGATCTTGAGGCGTGTCTGCAGCAGGTAATTCGGTCATCACGACTACAGCGAACACCTTTTGTAGGATGTAAGATCCGAGCGACTGAGGCTTCAATTAAACAACATCCGTGGCTCCCTAAGAAAACGAATTGCAAAGGCTTCGAGAAAAACTCCCGAAGAATGCCAAAATTAACCACGAGAGCTCAGAGAGCAGAAGACAACGGCCTCAAAAGCGAAAGACATAATCCTCTGAAAGCGGCTAAATGAGGTTCGAGTCGAATTGACCGGTCTTAAATACTCCCAAAGAACAAATCTGGAATGGAAAGGCATCCTAATCTATAGCTGGCCAGTCGTTGGCTGATAGAGCGTTCGCTCTTGGCACAAAAAGGTGGGGTGCGAGGTTAACGAGGGCTGATATCGGCGTCGCTAGCGGGGTCCCAGTTAAAGATAGGGCGTCGAATATATCCTTGTCAAGTTCAAATCGTGTCACGTAACACGTCCGAGATAAAAGTACTCGAATCTGCAAGAAAAAAACAGCGCATCGGGGAGTCTCAAATCGGTCGGAGCAACATGCAACTGCGAGTGTAAACTATGCGGAACGCAAGTTCGTCTGCTTTCTTTGTGGGGGCTGTGGTGACGTCAGAAAGATGCCGAGCTCTGATTGGCTCTGCTTGAAGGATAGTGGGTAGACCCCAAGGCAGCGCGCTTGCTTTGAGTTCTACCCACTATCTTTCAATCAGAGCCAATCAAAACTCCGCGTCTTTCTGAAGTCACCACAGCCCCTGCAAAGAAAGCAGACGAATTTGCGCTCCGCATACTCACCGACAACTTCAGAAACGCGTGGCGAGTCCAGAGCATAGATCACGGAGATTGCAGCATTAACCGATAATAAAGCCCAAGAACCATTCACGAGGCAAGTGCACTCTCAGAAATAGGACCGAAGCGCTCAAGTTTCGCCGCCGACTACAGCGCCATTCCAGCCCCTGGCGGGACGCCCGAACCCGAGTGTGTCGTTGTTTTTCGCCTCGCTTCTCCGTCGTAGGCGGTCGGATATGACATTCATTGCGATAGAGACGATATAAAAGCCCGGCTAGCACAAATGTTTCGTTGTTGATCGCAGCAACAACCTCCGATATTGTTGTAGTCAATCCTTAAAATTCTACCGCTCCCCTGAAAAGCCGTGCGAGACTCGAACGGCGCCAAGCCTGGACCACGTCGGTGCTCCGACAAAAGTAAGTCTCTCGTTCGTTGGAAGATCAGTTTTGCTAAATACGCGAGAAAACCTAAATGGAGTTGGTGTCCGAATAGAAACAGAATGACTACCGAACGCGGGAAAGTCAGTTGACTGGAAATGCATGACGGAATATTTGTTTTTTAGTGCGCGTCTGTCGCTTCCCTCGAGGTGTTTGACGAGGCTTCGGTCGCTATGTTGGATCCCTTTGGCACGGATATTTCAACTATAATCACTGGCAGGGTGAGAACGGCAGGGAGAAGCTTTAGTTCCTCCAGCACTAGCTTCCAACCTTCGACAGGGTTTCTATCTCGCGACCGTCGAGCGTTCACGTGCAGCCACATCGCAGCGAAGAGCAACGAAGACGTGCTAGAGCTCGGCCGTTCACAAGAGACGCCCTGCATGCCTTTTTGACTTTGTCAGCATATGTCTAGCTAGGGGAGGGGCTTTTGGGGGTTGCGAGTGCAGCTTTCTTCTGCCGTGTGTGTTTCTTAATCGCTGTTCCCGTTTTTTTAGCTGTTTATAGCCATAATATACGACGCTATAATACACACATGCATCCCCCCCCCCCCTTCCCAAACAACACACACAAGGAATGCACCTCCAAACCGCCTCAACCAGCCAGCCACCCGCCCCCCCCCCCCTCCCTTTTTTTTTTAAATAAAAAGAAACCCTGATTATGTTTTTACTTGCTAGAGACAATAATCGTTTCTATTATTTCGTGTCGATTTTCTACTCATCACACCAGAGATCTTATATTATTGATTTATTTTTCAGTGGGGGTGGTTCAGTTTTGATTCCGCCAACGTCAGCGGGGATCTGCAGCGTGCACTTCATGAACACCTGCAAGGACAACGCTCAGGCTCATCCTGCAACAAGTTACTAGACGAGATGCCAGCTGAGGTGTTTAATAAAGACTAATTGCAGGGAACCTACCAACCCTGTAATTGCTCGTGAAAGATTCTTAGTTAATTTAAATTAATTTTCACCCCCTCGCTCGAAGATACAGGTGACCTTTCCTCATCTATTTTGCATTCTCTATATGTGCCCGGTTCTTAGCCTGTTAAAAGTATCGTTAGTTGATTGGCAACTTCTGTCTTTGAGTTACATGTTTTGGTTTAGTCTGTACCCCAAGATTCAGTATAGCTTGGCTAAAGATGGATAAGCTTAGGTGACGACTGCTTTCTCACGAACTGGGAGACATCTTTCGTGAGATCTGGAATATGAACAGCTGATCTGCCGTGCAAGATCCCTGAAGTAGTCGGGGTTCTCGGCCCTACAATTTCTTGGACAGTCCTTGCTTCTCGAGATGTGTACATCATCTACAAGTATCCTGCCGGCCATACTTCGAGTCTGCTCCAATGTCACCGTGTTAAGAGCATGAGAAGAATTTTTATATTGTCACAAGGTTGTGTGTTTACCTACTCGTGGTTGTGATAAAACTCAATAAACATCTTTTTCACTGTCAACAAAACATTTCTGAAAGCGTTGCATTATGTTGCTGTACCATATTTTCCAGACTATAGTCTGCAGGGGCAAATTTGGGGTAAAAAGATTTTGCTTAGATTGTGCACATACGGTGCATCGTCCGCACCTGGTGCTTAGTCGTCACGAATATCCTCTCATAGACACAAAGAAGCTGGTATTATACATAAATTATCATTTACGTACTCTTTCATTCACCAAATCAGTCGTATCGTCATAATCAACGATATTGAAAAACAAAAATTTTGCATAGTCCGCACAGCCTAAGATTCCAACTTTTAAAAGTATAGCCCGGAAATTACGGTACATTCCTGGAAACGCTCGAAAACATGCCACGAAAAACTTTATTCAGTGAAGCAGCAATTAAACACTGGCATGCATGGATTATGTTTCTAGAAAATAAAAGTTGTTCTACTGATGACAACCTATCATGTGTCACTGGTGTTTCCTTTGCTACACAACATTTTCCTCCTAAAATGTCCCACACAGTAAAGTATGAATCAAGCCCCAGCCAATATCTGGAAATCTTGCATGTGGACTGGACAACTTGAACCTGAAAGAGAAATGAAGTTTTTTATGAATCCATCCAACTGAACATTGTCATGAAAATTCGACTAAAATTATGTGCAGTCATATGCATAGCAGGCTAGCCTCTTTTCGTTTTCAACTGTTTTGCCCCTCTTTCTGACAGAATCTCGCGGCACATTATTGCTCATACTCGCAGAAAAAGAACCATTAATCAGCAGGAGCAGGTCCCAGTAACTGCAACCCACTGCCTCAGTGAAGTGGGACAAAAAAACCTGGTAATAAATCTACGAAACCTTTGTTCAGGTCGTGCCCTGGCGTTTTAGTTCCCTACTGCTGAGGCAGGCTGATGCAGGAAGTGTGTTCAACAATGCTAATAAAATTACGAGCGTCGGCACAATGCTCGCACCGGTCCGCGACTCCAGCCCAGCGAGGACGTGCAGTCTCAACTGTACGCGGGGGACTTATCTCTTCCCGGAATTATCACCCTATGCCCGCATGATCCCCGACACGTAAATATTTCTTCGACGTGGGCGAGCCCGAAAAGCTATCCTACTCGTAGCCTCTAGTGCGAGAACGTAGTCTGCCGGTGGTTCAGCGACCGAAAAATAGTATCCCGACGTCGTCTAACAGGACTCACGAGAACAGTGGTTTATTGTGATTAGTAATCTTAAAGGCACAATGTTATTACAGCGCAAAATTTAAACAAGGGACGCTCACCTGTAAAGTTATCTCGTAGACGCCGCACGGGCGACACGACCGTACTTGCGAGGCGGACCCGACTCGTTGGCGGGGAAATCAACCGCTTTCTCGGTGGAAGATGCGTGTTATTGAAGCTTCTCTATCGTTTCTTGACTCACCATGAGAAATAACTCTCGCACGCTTTCTATCTTTCTCTAAATCTTCACTGTACGCTCGAAACACCTGCGACGCCAATGCAACGCTACGAACACGACCGACGCGACACGACCATGTGTTGTACTGCGGTGGCGCTACCATCGCAATTTCGAAGCGCCCCCTGGTTGGGCGAATCGATTCTATAAGGGTGTAGTACTTACCCCCCCTTTGTCCCCATATATAAAAACACACCAAAAAATACAATTCGACGTTCAGTTTACAGACGTCCAACCGACGATACCAACTTTCAGGAGGGGCTCGATAGTCGAATGATACAACTTATTAAAACAGGTAATGTAAGCATTAAAGAGTACTGAAAAACACTCGGGGTATTTTTAGCCCTGCTAAAAACCTCAGTGTTTTTTGTGTTTTTTTACGCGTATATTTTGCTTTGTAGTAAGTTATATTACACAGCTTTCAGGCCGCTCGTAGAAACTGGCATCGTCAGTTCGACGTCAGCGAACTGAACGTGCACGGAGTGTAGTTTTGGGGTGCGGTATATGTGACAAGCGGTGTAAATACTACACTCACTATTTATGAGAGTGCATGGAGACACGCCCTGCGTTTGTTAAGTTATGAGGGACCTTCGAGAGCGTGCGTTCTGACGTAAACACACGCTCTCATCTCCTTCTCTTCCGCAGTCTTTCACCATATTGTCGTAGAAAAACCGCCCCCCCCCTTTTTTTTTTTCTGATAACGAAGTAAAATACTTTTTTTTTTCGCGACGCGAAATAGAAACGAAGAAATCTATATTAAAAAAAGACGGCTTCCAAGGAAAAAAATAAGGTCTTTTCCAGCCTTCAGCTGTCAGTTTTCATTTCGTTTTATTTCTTGTAACGGACTCGCCCTTGGGTTTGTACCCAGATATTACGCGTCTGTATAATTTCGTATAAATAACAAGATTCGAGCGTTTCGTTTAACTCATTCTGTGTATGTTTATGATTGGAGCATCATCGCTGATTCAAGTAAGTTTGAATCATAGTTCAATAGTGCCAAACGTGCAGTGCCTTCTATATTGGCGCAGGGGCGGATCCAGAACTCCGTTTTTTTGTGTGTTTTTTTTTGGGGGGGGGGGGGGGAGGGGGGGCGGGAGGGGGAGGTGGGCGGGAAAATTTTTTAAGGATACTTTCTATTCTTTCTTGTGCACCGGAGGGTCCCATGTCAAATGGCCCTCCGAGAAGGGGGGAGGGGGGTCGACGTTGTTTGGGGGGGGGGGGGGGGGCGGCCGCCCCCGTCGCCCCCCCCCCCCCCCCTTGGATCCGCCCCTGTATTGGCGGCGATGGAGACGATGTAAGCGAGGCACGGAACATGGTCTTCACCCCACGCAACGTGGGCCACGACCTCCCTCGATATTTTACTTTGTACTGTCTTCTTTTATAAAGAAGGTCGTGGTAGGGGCAAACACCAGCTTGTTTTACAGTGCGATTTCTTTCTCTCTACAGTGTCACGTGGTCGAGGCTGCAAGAGCAAAGAGATACAGAACTTTCCCATAATTCGTTGCTCGCCTCGCGTGCGGCCTCCTACAATTTTGTTTTAAGCGGTCGAGGTAGAAACGCTTGACTGACCGGGAGGCATTTATGCATTTCTCAATTTGTCCGAATGGCCAAAATTCGCAACCCCAAAAAGTTACCCCCCCCCCCTGCCCTCCTTTTTCCGAGGATCACACATGGTGCGACTTTGCTCGTGATTTCGTACTTGGGACGTTGAGCGCCGCAGCTTCCACCACGCATGTGATGTCGCACTCGAAACTGCGAAATCGCGAGTAAGGAAGCACCGCGCGAATCAGGCAGAAGACTGGCAGCCGGCATTTCGTTGGTCGTTCTTTGTAGGTGAAGAAGCGCCAATGTAGCCGAAGGAGTAGGTGTAAGTACGTGTTCACAGAGTACCACCCTCACACATCAGCAGACCTTGCGCCTCCCCGTGCGTATACGTCCCTCGTTGGATGTTGACTCAGACGTTTTTGTTTGCTCCCGCGTCGGAAAGAACACGAGATTTGGTATGATACCAAAAATTATGGTAATCTGGCCTTGGCGAGCGCGTTGTTGCACGAGCGAATCGCCTCTCTGATAAGAGGTGTCTTGTTGCCGGGGGAACTTTTTTTCCCCGTCAGTCAATCCACGGTATCTACATATTTCCGAAGCCGAGACCCCCGGAAGCGGTGAGGGGTTAAGATAGTTCTGGAGTATAATAACGGTGACGCCTACGTAAGGCATCTCGGTGTTGCTAAAGTTCGTAGAGATTGGTCGCACTGCTAATAGCGCATAATTAATCTGCACTTCATTCGTACCGAAAGGCGGTACTACACGATCGGCGGATTCAGATCCACACCAAACATTCTTCAAGTACGACCGGCTGCGCCAGCAACACGTCATCGCATTTCATCATCATCCTAATACGTTTATCAGTCACCTGCCTTCTGGCTGGGCGGCCTCAGGGTAGGCAGGGGATGCGAAAGGGGAAGCGGTGGATGATAATGATTAGACGAGCTATACAGACCCGGAGTATCGGAGGATGTCTTGCTGATGGTTATTCGGACTCGTCCTCGCAGAGAAAAAAACAAATTACACGCTGCAAAATGCATGCCGCGGAAGATACGCGTTCAACAGCAAGGCCGCCTCAATGGCTGCTGATGCGACGTTATTAGAAGCCATGCATACCGGTGGGAGCCGCTTCGGCCGAAGGCCTTAGCCTCGGTCGCCTCGCCAATACGAGCGAGCGAACGTTAGCGACGGCGTCCATAATTGCGCATCAGGCCCGAAGGTCGTCTCGACGATAAGTCGTCTAAGCAGGTTGGTCAACAGCCAGAAGGGCGCAAAAATAGTCGGGCGGAGCTAAATGCAGTCCGCGCTATCTTATCGACGCCCGCCGGGAAGTCCGTGGCGGGCATTCAGCAGAGACGCGCGCGCCATGTTCCTGGTCTGGGTGCTGGTGTCCTGCCTGAACGACAGCTGCTCGGACGGACCCCCTGCGGCGCTGGTCGAGACCGCGGTCGCCGGCACGGAGTCACCACTCGGAGACTGCCTGCCGGAGACCCGCGTCCGAGCTCTGTGCCAGAACTGCGCCGCGCTCATCAAGGCACACAAGGCGTACCGGATGTGTTGCACCGACGAGTCCGGCAACAGTACCGAGTCCGTGCGGGCCTACTGCGCCAGGCTGCTCGAGCACACGGTCGGCGGAGCGGGACTAGTTACCAAGAAGCGCGGAGGTGGCGCTGGCGAGCGCTGACACCTGGAAGTTGGCACCACCTCGCCACGAGTCTCTTGTCGAACTCGAGTTCCGGTCGTCCACAAGCCATAGCACCAGTGACGTGTCCTTCCCTGCGACGTCAGCGAGCTTTCACTAGTCTTCGCTATGGTCTGTGGCAAGCCACATCCCTGGCAGTCACCGCACCCCGGAGCATCGTGCTTGGATTAAGGTAGCCGTCATGGCGAGGACCTCGAAGATGAAGCCACCGATTTGGCAGCACATACACGGCACTAGTAACGTACCCTCCTCTGCGACGCCAGTCTTCACTAGTCTTCACTTCTGTCCCTGACAAAGCCCGCCGCCCTAGCAAACGCTCTGCACGCTTGAGCGCCATCCCTGGATTAGGGCAGCTTTTGCACCGTCAACACGAGAAGCTCGAAGAAGATAAAGCCACCGATTCGGGAGAGCGTACTCTTGTATTCCTGTTGCAGGAATCCCCAGGTTCCACTGAGTTTCTGGTCCGTCCCAGTAGCTCAAGGAGGGTACGAACTGGAAGCAACCGAGATACCTTTTGGAGCAAAAGGGCAAAAAGTACCCGTGGAATTGCGTCGCCATTCCAAGACTAATTTTTCTACTCTTGGCTTCAGCGCTTCGTGAAGCCAAGCATAATAAACCTTTCCGTGGTAACGCTGCAGTGACGCCCACGATGACCGACTGCACTCCGTCCAACCCAAGCCCAACTGCAGGTAACTAGTGGCAAAGCCATTGAAAATCGGTGCCTCTTTAACAACAATAGGGGGGTCCTTGTGAGGAGAAAGGAATAAGCTACGTTGCGAATCATATCGTTCACGTAACATACTACATTTAAAAACTAGCGTGAAAAAAAAAAAAGACTCACTCTTTTGGCTTTTTGCTAAAATCTCATGCCATACATCTTTCACTCCAGGTACCGATGTGGCTACATTCTTCATGGACTTATAACACAAACGTCCAGACGTCTTTTAGCAATCGCTTCGTGGGAGATTTCATATGTCTAGCTGTTTTGTCGCCTGAATTGTACACTTCTTCATTCAGACGAAGAGTCCAATGTGCTCAGGCCAACGACCCGGAACTTCATCGAAGTATCTCTGTGACTCGTGTTCAGACGAAGCTCGCCACAAAGACGCTCATTGTCAGACCCTGTGATACTTCCCTGCAATCCGTGTGGTCGCATTCAATACGCTCGTGCCCGAAGTTACTCTTTTTATTCCTTTGGCTATTTGAACTTGTGTGTGATGTGTGTTCTAAAAAAGACTCCGTCGCTGATGCTTGTACTGCAGACTTTCTTCGCAACTACTGTTTTATTGGGCCAGAATGAACATGCCTCCATCGACTGTCTTGATTGTCGACATCATTTAATGTATTTATGATGATCACAAAAACAGTAAGCAGAATTGCAAAAAAAAGAAGAAATCAGTAACGTGATTTGAGACACCGTTAACGAAGTGCTTTCTTTTGTCTCTTTAATTTCATTATTTATTTATCGTTTATAAGAGGCCTCCGGGAACACAGCTGTCCGCGGAATAGAAAACATTGATCGAACAATCAGAATAATAAGAAACAAGAAGGGAAATACCACTAAATCACCCTTATCCACATCTGTGTTCTACCACCACCCCAAAAGTCACAGGACAGAAACTCCTGACTCTTGGTTATTAACTCAGCGATAAAACGGCACCGATGTAATAGGTGCCGAGATTCCAGAGTGCGTGCACTTTGCAAATGCGCACAAAACACTCGAGTGGTGCAATGGCCAGTCTTCACTCCACTAAAGGGCAAGGTGTGTTCGAAGGAATCTTACACGGTGACAAACTGCACCGAGGGGGTGGTGTCACCAACCCCTCGGCTTTTGCATGTTTGCTTCCTGTAATTTCTTTACTTTTCTTTGAGGTGATGGTGTGCT